CCCCCCCCCTCTCATGCGCTCAAGGCTTCTCCTTGGCGTGCCGCAAATGGCGGTAACGATCGACGCGATCTCGGCTCCTTTGTCTCTTTCGAAGGATTCCGGAAGGTCCGCGAGAAAGGTGTCGAGGAGCGGCTTGATGGTCGGTGCCGTTTCGTGTCAAAATAATTCCACCGCTTCGCCGAGGGCTGGGTAGGTAACTAAAGTAAGCGCTACTCCACACAAGCAAATAGAGCAGGACATGGATGACGCTACACCGTTCTGACCCTGTCCAAAATCTATTTCGCAACGGCCCAAAAGTCTCCTATCTCATGCATGTCCTTAAGATTCTCGAACATGTTTGAGAAAGAAACCGGGCTCGATGCTGGTGTGCAGGTGGATTGTGCGCAGTTACGCTTTGACCACTGGCGCCTTGAGCACTGGCGCCACAGCTTCAAATCGCCGGAATCTCTCGCACCCCTAGGCGTTTACATCGATCGTTCCAGGAGACATTGGTCGAGGCACTCCTTGCGACAGACACTCAACTACCACTGTTTCAATCACTCTCAGACCACCCAACTGAGCGCCGCAAACGACTAAGCTATTGCGCCTGGGGCCGCATGCGCCATGGCGAGTGTTTGCAGGGCTCAAAACGCACACGGAAAGCGCTGCAAGAGGGAGTGAACGAGGCGAGGCGCCCACGGCAGGTTTATTCCTATTGTATAACCTGTAATGTTTATTTATGTACCAACAAGCAGTGCAATAGGCTCTGACACTCAAGTCTCTATAGTAATAATACTTAACCACTAATCGCGGTGCGAGAGCGCTCAACAGGCCATAAATCTATAGGATTTCGTAGTGCCAAGAAATCGCTCGGCCATCCTGGCTGCACGGGGGATAGTCTCAAGTCTCGAGGCCAAGGATTGAGACTGGGACTGGTTACTGTACAGTACTAGAAAGGTGCATATTTCGAGTCTATTTCCGTGGGCGTATTGAATGATGCTTAGATGTACGTTCGCCGCGGACGCTGACGCGACAACGCCAGCATTGCCATTTTTGTCGCCCGTTCTGCCACATTTCGAAAGTACTGTAACGACACACCAAGCGCAAAATACCGCCGGAGCGCGCGAGATCTAGGTCTTTTTTGTGAGCACGATTGGCGGGCCAATGGGGGAGCTCAAGTGATACTTTGAAATATACTCTGCCGTATTTCAGGAGGGAAATCAATTTTACCGTTCTAGAGATTTTTGAACCCGAAGAAGCAAGCACGATTGGCGGGAATCACGATGCGTGGTAATTCAAACTGGCGAATAGCGTGCTCTCGCCGGTGGGCTCCACAGTTCAAGAAACAAACATGTCTGTGGTTTAGGTAGTACAGAGGACGTCGAAACCTGCCTACCCCTGCGGACGCACTGCGACATTCTATCACGCGTTCCCTTGATGTAGTCTAGCGTGCTTCTCACATTGACGAATTATAACAATGTAAGGGACTTGGCAGAAATCCGTTTCGCTCTGTAAGATCGGTTCTAGAAGATGTAAATGACTGTCAGGCTGAAAAGTTTCCACTGGTCCCCGGGCAGCGACTAAGGTTGGGCCTCAAAAGGCTTAAGAGGGCAAAAGGAGCAGCCAGCTCATGTCTACAGCGGAAAGCTTGATCATTGCTTGTTCGACTTCGACGCATCTGGGGAGGATGCAGGAGGCAGCCTTGTCGAGGACCCGTGGGCCTATGGCATCGGAAAGCCTTAATCAACTGGACAGAAGGGAGTGTGGCACTAGCGGCTCTTAAGCGATGCAGCACCTAATCTCAACAATGCAGAGCTAAGATCAACCCCTTTTGGGAGCTCAAGGCCGCCCATCACCTACGTTAGCGGGGCTGATTCGGCGCCCCGGTTAGGGAAGCTTCAGCTGCAGGCTGGCGGGGTGGCGCGCCTGGCCGCAGCTGTCGCGGATCTAGTTGACACAACACTCGCCATGTTTCCGTGTTGACTCTTCATGAAGGGCAATGTCTCAATGTTTGAGCAGCTGCTGTCGTATGAAAATGCCGTGTCCTCTCACTAGGCGCGCGCTGGCGACTGGTCTGGTGGCCGGGCTGGCACCCGGCCGTCAACAATCCTACCAACCTCCCTAGGCTCCCTCGACTCCAAGCGATGAACATACCCCCGGAGGATAGATCGAGGTAAATATCTCTTCGAGGATGAGATATTTCTCTGATCGCGCGACGTCGACCGCATCCAGATCTCTCCGTTATCGTTTCCTTCGGCGCATTCGACTGGAACATGCTTGAAAAGACCGGGATAATTCAACATGGAACGAGAGGATCCTGACTTAAGCTGACCGACGAGAAACGGCACACCTTTTCGCCGATCAATAGTGTAATATCGCGCAGTGTTGGCAAAAGGAGCAGGGGAGAATGGGGCACCGACCCAAAGTGCAGGAAGCGTCCTGCGACCGGCGTTGGATCTGTTGCTTTAAACAAGGTTAGGAAGGTAGCAATGGATATATACACACCATACAAGCAGGAGAAGGAATGATGTGTGTGAAGGGAGGCGCTGTGATCGATATGATAGACTCAAGATGTGAAGATGTTTTACCTGCAGATGGGCGAGGAGACGTGGGGATGGACACCTGCGAAATCCTTCGACATCAAGTCAACCAACCCGTGGGATCCATAGGTCCCAACCAACGCCATGGCCGAGTATCCTGACTTGGACGAGGTATTTCGTTTGCAATGGCTTTCCCAAGGTACTTCACAGGGTCATTCACAACTCCCTGGCACCGTCACCACCTACGCAGAGGCCACGACCCCCACACCCGTTCCTGATGTCGTCCCTCGCAGTCGAGCCCACGAAACCGCCCAGGCATCGAGTCAATGCCCCCCTGCCCATCGAGAGAACTTGTCGTTTTTGGAAGAGGAGGATTGGGATCCAGACAAGCCATATAATGGAGATCGTTTCCACTATTTGATTGAGTGGAAGGTGAGACTGAACGGTAAGGCCGTTGCTAACCAGTCTGAACCCAACGTTGTCGTTTCTCTCGACTGCTACTGGCGGTTGGTTTTGCAAGACCGGCTGGAGCAAGTAGTGCGGCGGAGGTTTGCGAAGAACCGACGACTGCGGCACGAGCATACCGCGGTGGTCGTCTCAGTCACGGAGCGTTCGCAGCGAGACCTCTCCAAAGAATACGAGGGAACCGAGATCGATTGGGCCGTTGCGAACAACCAGCTGCTTGATTGGAGTCCACATTTCCAGAAGGGCAAGAAACTCCGGGTCAACCTCTCGTTCAATTTTGTGGAACAGAATGCGCAGTCGGCAAGCCGGTCTGCCAGAAGAGGCGACAAGAGAGGACGGAAATCAGCCAGTAGTGGCATGCTGGCGGACCGGGATCGAGAGATAGCCGCAGAACAAGACGCAACGGGAGAGCCGCCCGTTTGGCCCGATCTATATGCATTCATGCGCTGTCCAACGTTCTGTGAAGCGGGTCCGCACTGCTGGATTGATTCGGAAGGGAACCATCACAGAATGAAGGCCGAATATTTCAAACGACTCGAAGAGCACGTGGCCCGGCACGGAATGCTGTCAACGCACAGTGACATGCCCTTGGACCTTCAACGACAATTAGTTGCGGATCGGCAAAGACAGGGCCGAAGGGGAAAGAAGCAGATTTCGAACTCTGACCCCCCTCTGCCTCCTATCACTATCACTAACGTACTGCCTGGACAGCCTCCGCAAGCGTCCCAGGCAGCAAGGGCCCAAGACCAGTCCACTCCCAGGTATCATTCAGACGCCACGAGACTCCAGCAGGTGGAATTTTGGGGTTTTCGTGATGATGCGCTACGACGGTACGCGGAGTGGCAGCAATCGAGAGTCCGGGATCCATCGGTCAAAGCGGATATTGGAAGAGCATATGATGTGGCAATGAAAAAAAGGATCTTCCTGGAAATGATGTGCGAACACCAGACCTATCGTATATTTGTAGACGAGGGTGTGCCCGTGGTGGTCGCTTGGTATTTCACCTGGCCCAAGGACATTGAAACCTTCGGTCATTACGACAAGCGCGTTAGACTGGACACGAGTGAGGATGGACGTCAGGGATGATTGGATTGTTACCCAGCTCCTTGCCGTGCATTTTTCTGAGCATGTACTGTACTGAACGAGTAGATGCTGACGAATGACCTGTATTCCGGAGCACGATGATCTACGGACGTCTAATTTCAGGCTCTTGAATGGTCCATCCTGCATGCCTGAAATGCCCTCTGGCACTCTCCTTTCTTCGTCCCACCACGGCCACACACCATTCGATGAACGTGCCAAACCCTTGTCGAGGATTGTCCTCGTATATCTTCCGATTCTTCTTGATGAACGCCTTCAATTCGGCAAAGAACTCTTCAATGGGATTCAAGCGGGGTGAATACGGAGGCAAATAAAAATACTTAACTCCTGCGGCATCGCACATCTCTCTGAACCGCCCACTGCGATGATAGGATGCATTATCCAAAACAAGGATGGAGTTCGACTCAGGAAATCTTCCACAGTGAGGAAGGAGCCGTTCAATGAAATCCTCAAATACATCCGTGTCCGTGGTACCCAGGTAGACACGTGAAAAGAGGATGCCATCCTGGGTATAGGCTGGCAGGATCTGGTATCGCTGTCCCCGAGGGAATTTTCTGGTCTGAACCGGAGTGACACCCCGTTTAGACCACCCAGTATTTCGAAGCCCATCTCTTGTGTCGCATCCAGATTCGTCCACGTAGACAAACTGGTAGGAGTGGAAGGGGGCAATGCTGTGAAGGTAGTAGTCGATCAGGTCGGGATTCTGCTCGGCCGCCTTCCGGCGAAACTTCTTCTTCGACCGTTTCGCAGAATGTAAGGCCCTGCTGACACTGGATTTAGTCACAGCCACACCGAACTCGTCCCACAGGTAGTCCACCATCTCTTCCAAGTACAATTCGGGATGTTCGTCGAGATAGGTAAGGAGGCCATCGCGCATCGATGGGGTGATCGTCGAGGGCCGTCCGCCACGACGAGCCGGTCTCGTGGTGCTGCCGATTTCACGGAGGTTCCGCTTGATGTTCTTGACGGCGTTGATGCTGCATTTGTTGTGGACCGCAATTTGCTGGAGTGTGAAGTTCCCACTCTCTATCATGCAACGAATGCATGCGTGCGTCGAGACCTCGAGTTTTCGCGCCATCGCTCGCAGGCGTCCAGCGCTGCGACGTGCATTGGCGGCGCCGGTGTCGAGGGGTGGGATTGCGAGTTCTGTGGACTATTCGAACGTTCCCCTGCGGTGGTGTCCGCACCCACTTACCAACAACCATCAACCTCATTCATTTGGGGCCCCGCAGAACAACACCGTGAAGACCAATTCGATACGACATCGCTCTAATAAGTGTCCCTAGGCTGGCAATCATGTTAGCCAGAACTTACAGCGAGATCAGGATCAACCCAATGATGGTTGAATATCTGCAGTCTGCCCGCGCCATCGTCAACCCGACGCTGTTTCGATCGCCACCTTCTCTTTCGTCTTCTGCGTCAAGCCTCACAAGATCCCATCTATCATGGCCGCATCGCATAACGAAGTCCATATATATCCAGGGTAGCTAGGGAAATATTGTTCGCACACAACTACTGTAGGCTTCTCGACAAGTCCCTCCACACGTTTTAGATATTTCTGAGGCGTTCCATCACTGGAGCGTCGTATAATCCTTGAGGTGGGTATGGCTATGCTAGGTAGGTTTGTCTGGAGATCATCTTGAGAAGGTATGAGATTCGACCGTAAGATAGAAAGGGATGCTTCGCGTAACGGTGTTCGATATAGGTATGCTGGGCATGGCTCTGGAGAGAAGAGTGTCCGTACACCCGTGAGGGTAGCTGCACTAGGCACAAATGTTGTGCGAAGCAGGAGCGTAGATGGAAGGAAGCACCATATCTCTAATATGTGAATGCGCAATTTCAATGTTTTATATTTTCAAGAGCTTAGGCCTCCACCTACATTTTGGCTGAAGCTTGGTCCCGGGACTTGGGCCGCGTTAATCGGGCTGATCGCCGAGCCGCATGGCATGGTCAAATTCAGCCTCATTTTGCAGGACGGATCACCAAACCGAGGCGCCCCACGCACCTCTCGATCACTGCAGCGCAAAATGCATTCCCCAACTTCGAAGAATGGGGTTTTCTGGGCCGCGTTAAGTGATTGTACCAGACAGGCCTGGTGGACGGTATTGAATTAAATTTGCTCTGCGGCCAACGACTCTTGCATGCTCCGCCGTCTGTTCTTGCATGTGCTCGACAGGTTCATTCTCTAGCAATATGTGTAAGTACGTTCTCTCTGCCATCGCGTTCGGATTTTCAGAAGCTTTACCTTGATGCGCGTCCTCCTTTCCCAAGATTTGCTTTCTTTTGCCGGCGACCTCCACTGAACGCTCCTTAATCTTTGGTATTGGTGTGTCTCCGCTTTCGTGGCCGCTTAGGTTGTCTCCGTGGAAGGTCTAGCTCCACACAATCGCTTTCATATCCATCCGGAAGGTGCGCTCTGATGTACCGATTAGAGAGATTATCGCAATTGCCGTCTAAGTCCTTGACACCATGATTTTGGTCAATGACAAAGTGTTCCACGTCCAAAGATTTGATCATGGAGCATAAGTCATCGACGTGCTTAGACCCTTGTCGGAAAGTCTCCAGCGCACGCAACACGCTCTTTCGACACAAAACCGCGCCTCTCATATAATTGATATCGTTTCCTCCATCGGATCTGCTGAAGTTTTGGTTCCGATAGATGGTGTTATACCACGACTTGTGACATACCCAGGCAAAGGTTCCCGTCAACGTGTCGTCGACCTCTGAAATAATCAACGTGTACGGGGTCCAAGTGATTGTACGCAGTTCACCATTACAGGCCACGCGGACTTTTTCTGGCATCATAGGTTCGGTCTCTGCACCTGACGCTTGGAAGGCGCCTGCGCCTTTCAGAATCTCTCCCATGATCTTCTGTAGAGGCTCTGGATCCAAATTGCTTTCCTCTAGAGTCTCCTCGCTCAAGATGCAAAACTCCCCGTCCTTGTGAACTCCGGTTATGCAGGTCGACTGGGATACCGAAAGGGACGCCAAGGTGTCCGTCTCCATCTTCTGATTCTGACGCCGTCGCTCGGGTGTTGATTTTGTTGAGTTAAGGTGAGAAAGGGTTATTGAACCCGGAAAATTTCTGATGGCTGAATGGATGCCTACAACCCCAGATGTTCGGAGGGCTGCCAAGCATTCCTGCGGCTCAAAGGGCAAGTCATGTGACTCTGGGTTCTCGAGATTGTGACTGAATGACACTATGGGGTCATACGTTACAGATGGTAAAAAGGTACCTTAAATGACTCAATTCTAGAGTCATTTCAGCCATAGTAATACTTATGTCACAAGATCAAGCCCACTGCCTGGAACACTCTTTCAACTTCGGGCTGCTCCTTTTAGGTGCTTAGGTGTAGTATTATTGTAAGGGACAGGCTAGAGCGTCGAATTTGCAAAGTATCTACGCTCCTTTTACGAAGCAACTACTTTATGCAGGTACAGTATCGTTGCGCAGGCATGAGCAAGGGAAAAAAAAACCTGATCCGATACTAACCTCCATTACTGGTAATGGTGATACCGTGCTTAGCCTAGTCATCGTTAATTCGCTCATTACAGTAGGGCTTAAGCGCACGGAATTGGCAATGTTTGTTTCCATATGCGGTTTAACCGATTTTTGAGAACATCTCAATATGTCCGGCAAGCGTAGGTGGATTTCGAGACGATCTGTAACATGTTGCTGCAAGTCTCTCCGTAAGTGTCTTTCCTATGGTTATTGTTACCGGGGGTGATATATTTCCATTTTGTATTACCGATACTTGGTCCTTCCAATCCACGCCATGGTCCGCCAATGTTGGAGTGAGCAGACACGTAGAAATCACGTTTGAACCTTGCCACGGCACGGAAATGTCGTCTGATGGTCGGAATGTGCCATGCCACGGAATCATGGCCGCTGACAACGTTACTGTAGTGTCAATCCTAATAGCTCACTTTCCAATACCTGCGAACTCCACAGAAGGTGAATATCTGCCTATGAATGCTTCCATGTCCCTGCCGAACAAACCCCGAAAAAATATGTTTGTATACACAGAGTGTTCGAAATGAACTCCCCATGATCTTCCAGGCTCATGCCATCCATGGCCATGCCCCGTTGCAGTGATGCCCAGCAACCCGCTCTTTGCTCCACGCTGACAGATCGTGGTGAACATTCACTGAGCGTTGCCGCCAGGTACGATCAAGTGGAAGCCACTCGATACATCCTTGCGCACAAAATCCAGACCAGTCAAATCCTGGACGCCTGCGATATCGGTTTACGCTGCGACGGCTTCTCGGCCCTGGAAGTCCTTTATTCGCACCTTTTACCAATGGACAAAACTTTCCGGTCTCAGTGTCTCCAAACCGCTTGTCGCTCAGAGACGCCTGTAGGTCTGCGGTATTTGCTAGAAAACCATGGAGTTGATGCGAACCATGTTATTGAAGGGAACTCCTGCGCTGTCCATATGCTTGCGAGACTAAATAAACCCCACCACATTGCCACTTTGATTGAACGCGGGGCAAATGTCACACTCAAGGATGCCACGGGCCAAACTGCATTTGAGATTGCTCTCAGCCACGGCCACGTCGGCGTGGTCGACATCCTCGTTACCCACGCTCAATTTCCCACTCCCAGAACTCGTGCACAAAAGGAAGAGATCGTTCGCGATTGCTTGAGGCGCTTGCGGCCCCTAAGAAGAGAAGCCATTCGACGACGAGGAAATGCTGTCCACGAAGTGGAAGCAGTGTTAGCTTCTACAGGTGACGATGCCCTGCGACGCCTCCGAGACACTCTACTTGGATGGAAGCAAATCGAAACAGAATGGCGGGAAAAGGATAAAAAAAATTGACTCAGCAAAGGTTTTCAGATCAACCGCCAGGGCTCAAAGATTTTTGGCCCCGCCCCAAAGGCTTCGTGCCAAGTTCTGAATGACCAAGGAGTTGTTGTTTGGTCTGAGGAAAGTGTCAAAGAGGATTCGGTTTTTTCTGCCGACGACATTGGGCTTGATCAGACCCCGGAGGCCCGACGTTATCTCTCTAAGAAGGTCGATGTGGATGTGTTACAGGATATATTAATAAACCTGGACGCGGAGCTGAGCATGTCATCCGAAGCGAGCGAAACACCCGATGTCATAGAAGAACTTGAGACGAGACGAAAAGAAGTGTCGGATGAACTGAAGCGACTGAAGGGGAGGTCTTCAATCAACTTCGCGCCAAGAATATCGTATGACCTCAGTCAGCCCCCACAGCGTTGGAGTAAGTTTGTCCTTCTCTCGGAAAGTCTTGAGGACTTTCTGACGAATGTGATTCGATTGTACAGCCTTACTACTTCGGATTCATCGAATACAAGCTGCATGGGAAGACATCTCATCAACGCGTCCTTACTGGATCATATCAGAGAATATTCAAGAAAGAAGCAAACAGAATCGTCATTCTTGATCACACAGAGACTGAGCCACCAAAACCAGACCAGTTGGCGTTCGAACGGAATGGCAGGTAAATGTATTGTGGAAAAAGACGTCTCAGAATGGCTCCGTCATCTCCATAATCTCCACGGGCCCTGAAGTGAGAGAATCACAGCGTCTCGCGGCATTGGTATGGTGTGGTGGCCGTCGAGCTCCAGGGATATCGTTAAATACTCCGAGCGCGACACTAGGGCTGTCCTCAGAGTGGTGCGTGCAATCGTCAACGTCCCTGAGCGTAGAGATCAACGCCAGAGCTTTTCTACCAGTGACCTTGATGCTCGGAGGTTTATCTTCTAACTGAGCGAGCTTTTCTTACGTCCGTCGAACCAGAAAGCCTCTTTCCAACCAAGCCCAACTCGGCATCGGATCGAGGCCTCGATCTCAACAACACGATAGACGCATAACGCGATAAAGGGCCCACAAGTAGAGAGAGGAATGATTCTACTTTACCTAGGCCCACAAACTAGTCACTGCGTTAACAAGTATCCCCCCAAGGAAGGCCACGAGCTTCAATTCCTAGAGCTGTACGCGAGTACAGACAGAATCGTCAAGGGCGGTAGTAATTGCATATGCCATTTTAGCCCTGGCCACTCTCTTTCCACTCAATCTGTCCCGCTCTTTCGAACTGAGAATTTTCACCCGGACAGTGGCCACGGGACGAGGTTGTCGTCCTCCTCAATCTGCGCTAATCCAGATGCGGGTCGAGCCGCGAGCTATAGAAAGCTGGGCATGGTCAAACACGGCAAGTCTGGCGAACAGTGAGCCAGGCCAAAATATCTGGACAAACGAGAACACCACTCCGTCTTCCCTTCCATGCGCAACACTTCAACTGGCGGAGTTTTAAAGGCGTCCTTGACAGCGCCGTACTAGCCTCATTACCATTGATTGATTGCCACCGGGCTTGCCTAGATACCGCACAAAATGACGTCCTTCCTGCCGTCCGTCACCCACGCATCCCGGTCGGCTCGTTGCGTACCCTTTTCGACGCTCTCACCACAACCGCGATGTAGCCCCTCACCTCTCACCGCCTTCTTATTCAAACTTAAGACGTCTGCTCCTTCGCTACCCTCCTCCCTCTCGCTCGACCCTGACCTGTTTCCCCGTTTTCGCCGCAGCCCTTCAGCCTGCGTCGTCGCCTCCCTTCGACTGTACACTTGACCATGGCGCGGGCGATGGAGACAACGCAAGATCCACTTGCCTCAAGAAAGGACATCAGGGCCGGATTAAGGCAGAAGCCTCGGTTGATTGAGGTTGAGATTTCTGGGAGGATCACTTCCATACCTTTGGCGGCACTGCTAAAGAGGACTGCCGCACACAAGGCGCCCATTTTTTCTTTCAAGCGGTTCATGAAGGCAGTAAAATCCCGCGGTCCAACAAATGCCCGTTTTAAGTTCATCTGGCCCGAGTTCACCGTCCGGAACCAGAAGGATTTCGAAACGGCTCTCACGATCTGGCAGTTGCACCCCGGAAACACAGCAAAAGATTCTCCATTCAAGCTCAGAGCACTGGAGGGCGACGACGAAGAGCCCGTCAACGACGACCCTATGATTTCGAGTGGAGGTTATCCACCGCTTCCGAGTAATCCTGACCCCCCCAAGCATCTCCTACTCAGAATCATCAGTGCAAAGGAACACAAAGAAGCAGTTCAGTTTGCCTGGCAATCATTGTTTGGCGGGACCAAATTCTCAGAGGACAACCTTGAATGGACGAAGTTGGAAAAGGAACTTCATCAACTGGAGTTCTTGCCGCGTGAGATGAAACTGGTGTTGAAGTATGTGGATTTGGACGCTGGCAGCACGCTTACAGTCAAGACTCGCACGACCCTATATGGTGTCCTTGTCGCATTCAAGCGTCACTTCGACTGCTCTGTTTGTGGCCTGTATTTGGAGGACCGAGCCGAAGGTGATCAGGGGAATAGGCTCTCTATTCCCGATTTCATGACACCAAAACGAGGCAAGAACGGCATACCGCACGATCGCGGAGAGGTTCAATATATGCGAACGATCGTTGACTTGACGGGTCCCGAAACAGATGAGATGGAGCCGGGTTCAACAGGGAGTACCTGAACTGACAAGGCTGTCATGGTCTCGGCTCGAGAACCGGGGTCACTGAAACGCCAAATGTACGACGATTTCCTGAAGTATACAGAGCATAAATCAAAGGGAGATCCCTCTCGTCATGCGTCGTCATGGACAAGAAAGACACAAACACGTATGATCATTAGGCCAAGACGGTATTCGTTTTGTCTTGTGATGGATGACGACGGAGCGACCCTCGAAAGCAAGGAATGAATGTCACACATTCTGGCGCTGGCCAGTCCTTGTTTCAGCTCGACGTCCACACTCGCCGGAGGGGGAACGTGCATAAATGCAAGTACCGGTATGACGTCCGCGGTCTGTTATATCGCTCATAGGTATTTTTAGGGTCAAACGCTTTTCTTCACTTTCACATCAGTGCCGTTTGCTTCCTGATATTCCGTGAACACCTGCAAGAAGCATGCATATCGTGACATTCAGCGGTAAACTTGAATAAATTGTGGCCTGTACTCGATAGCCCGGCCACTTACACCTCTATAGGTATTTCACTCGTATCCAGCGGTTCGTTTCTGAGCTTGCTTACGGAATCCTCTCTTCCGTAACCCAGTGCCGGGGTTCCACGAAGCTTTTCGCAACTCTCTCTAGACTCATCGATGGATTGGACGGTTTTCGGGTGCACCTGGCGGAAAAGCCCAGTCAGTACCTTGTATCAATCATTCGGCGGCAGACGCGAAAATTGGGGGACTCCGAGACGATCGTCTTAAATTGAGTGCAGATGTGCGTCTGCAAAGCGAGTCTATGTCCTCACTCATTCCTCAATCTGATAACAGTTTTGTCCGCCCGTCAAGGCCAACGCACCTTCACTCGCTGTCACTATCCAAAATCAGGATCTCTGTCGCATCATCGCTCTCGTCATGGACAGCGGAGGCCGTGCTGTCAGGCTCAACACAGACTTCCCACACATCATCCTTCTGCAACACGCGTTTACACACCCCGCAGGTGAAAGGGGCCACCCTCTTGCGCCACTCGTCGAGGCAGGCTTTGCAATAGGTGTGGCCACATCTGGTTACCGTGTTGAGGATGGTGTGCCGGCAGATGACGCAGCGCAGATGGTCGACACAATCTAGGAGATGATCCTACTCTACCTTCTGGCGACGAAGTTCCCTTTTGGCCTCCCTGGCTCGCCGGAGAGAGCGCCCTTGCCGCCGTAGCCTCTTTCGCAAGTTCGAGAGTTCTTGTTGATGGCGATCGATCGCAGCTTTTCCCTCCTGCTATTTGGCCTTAAGTTCTCGAAAGCGGCTTAGTAGGCTAGAAAACTTTCTCCTTATGTCCATCGCACTGTCTACAATGGCGCTGTACTCATTCATAATGTCGCAATCTTCGTCCTGAAGCAGTCGACCGGTGGTAGATCTCGAGCGTGTGTTCGGCATTCTCGGGCCAGTCGTGTGGTGATGATCGGTGGAGGAACAAAGAGAAGGGACAGGAGGGAAAGCGGAGCGAGAGCGCTTTTATATCTCGACGTGGAACCATGGCAAGCACGGCTGGCTCGGCCTTCTGATCACGCGCAGGATTCGACAGGGGATCGTCACCAAAGCGCGCTTTAACGTCCTCGACTGTGGGCCGATCCAAAGCGCCTGGCAAGCGAGCAATGCCACTCGACGCGTGCCACCGAAGCATCGCGCACAACACACGTTGCACGATCTTCGTCACTATCCATCAATGCCTTGTCCAAGCCCGAAGGCACCATCGGTACTGGACACGCCACGATGAACCGATGGTGGCCTGGCTCACCGGCAAGGGCCCCAAGCTGGACTGTGACAGCCCCGATCCTACTCCGAGGGCACCCGCAGAGGTTGCCGCCTGTCAGCAGCACTCACCAGCTCTGAAGCAGCCGGCGCAGTGACAAGAGGACGCCGGAAGGCGATGGATCTGACCGCGCCTCCTGGTCCGCGCCATCCTTGCTCACGATATTCTCATCCCTACAAAGACGCCACAGATCTCCAAACCTCAACATTCCGCTTTGCAACATCTCCTTTATTTTCACCAACCTCACCTTCAATATGGAAGCTACACCGCCGCCAGTGCTTCGTGAGTTGGCAAACCTCAGCTCACACTACAACAAGACCATTTGGATGTGTATTGAAGACGCTTGCCTGGATCCATCCGATGCTGAGGCAGTTCCATCTCGAATGTACCAGTTGATCAAGCCTCACGCTCAATTGACTCCCCCAAATCGAGACCTACACCTCCGTCATACGTAATATAAAATAGACCCCAGAGAGTACGAACGACGTCCATACCTCGAAACTGAACAAGAATACAAGGACAGATTAGTGTGTGTCTGAAAGAGTCCCCGAGCACGAGTGCAACGTCTGATGCCGAATGGATCTGGAGAGCACAAGTTGTAATCAAGGCACTTGATGTCCAAGGGGGGTTATTCAGTTCCCAAAACAGGCTTGACATCATTCCACCCAAGGATGTTCTATGAATATGGCTGGATCTGCCTCAAAGGAGGACAAGGCGTGCCGGCCTGGAGAAACCCTCAGCCGCCTATGCCCCGTCACCTGGACTGCCTGTGGTGTATCGAGGACGGTTTTTCTGTCACGTCTTGAATAAGACAGAGAGAATGGCAGTGGAGAAGTGGCATCAGGGCGATTTACCAGAGACTCTTTCCGGAAAGTTGACTCTCGATGATATCTGGCGGGATAACAGCGACGCAGTCACACTGGAGATAGCAACCAAGGGCGAAAAGGCAAAGAGAGGAAGGAAGGACAAAAATGCAAAGAGGCAAGGGCGGAATTTGGAAAGGCAAAGAAAGGCAAAGGAGCAGAAAGGCAAACAGGTGCAAAAGGACAATGATATAGGGCTACAGTGCACAGGACGGTTGACAGTCCGACGGTCTCATCTGCGCTCGTCCTTTTGGGATCTCCAGCACGGGATACCTGTCGTCTGTAAAGTATGAAACTGATTGGCTCTTTCGGTCAGTACTATGTTGTCTCGATGCGCAGGATCAGAAGACTTTGGTGAGTCGCGCTTTAAACAACGCACTTGTTTGGGCCTTGAAGGTTGTTAAGAAAGGTTGCCGAGGTGGAGAAAACCATCAGGCTTGCGCGACTTGAGCTCGCCAGACGAAAGGTCGTCTCATCCAAGGAGAATGTCCCTACTCACAAACATCAGAGCGAACTTGCTACGATATCAAACCACGATCTGGGAAGAGGACGTCAACAAGGACGGATGGCTTTCTGGCCTCCGGTCGCGCTGGTTGCTATCCAACACCCTGGCTGTAGTGGGGTCTATCACCGCTGGTCGAGACGTTGACCTATATAGGCCCCCGTCTTTCGCGGCGGAGCGAAAGCGCGATGGTTTTTTATCCTCATTGCGGGTTGACCATCTCAAACGAACTCTAACCCCCTTGTCACCCAAGATTCACCGTATGTCGCATGCCCAAACGCAGTCTATCCCGGACGGATCGTATATACACGCATTACTGCCGCCGATGTTTGTGTAGGTTTCGCTTGCCAGAGTCAGAGCATGTCCTTGCGCGCCGTCACTGTGATCCCATCCTTGAGCCGCGGTAGCGCAAATTCCGTTCAAGCCAGGGCAGAGTTGGAATTTCAGCCGCCCACGTAGACGTTTTCAAAATCGTCTGCCCCCCCTGGCGCCAAGACCTGGGCCGTCGTGCCCGGGTTCAGCTCGTGCTGGAGGCCGCTGACACTGTCCGTGCTGGTTTTGAGTGCGTTGGCCTCGCGTTGGCTGTCGGGGGTCAGAGTGGGAAGTCCGCCGGCAGATCGCCACTTTTGGACAATCGGTAGATAGCCACTGGCAGTCGTGGCTGTCGTGGCGGGGCTGCTGAAAGTAGTAGAGAGTACGACCGAGCTGCTCGTCGCGGTCACTGTGCTGACATCCGTGGATCTCTCGCCGGCTTCCACGAGCGTCCTCGGCTCCCCGTCTGGGATCAACGTCCATCCCAACGACCCAAAGTTTGCCAGCTGGCGTCCCAAAAGGGTGAAGCTCATGTTTAAGGCCAAAACGGACGATGACTGGCCCAGCGCCATCATGAGGATGCTCAAACCAGAGTGGCCTAAGTACCGCATGCTAGCCAGGCTTCCCCGATGTTGATTTACGAATTCAACCGCGTCGAGAAAGATTATCGTGCACTACGGTCGCGACGACATGGACCGTTTGGACAGCGGGCCCGGTATATATTGGACTAGGCGGACGCGGCTGTGACAGCATTATTCTGGTCGGCTCTCACATTTCTTCGTTAAATCCTGTCACGGTACCCAAATCTCAAACCACACACTCGTGATTCGAGTAAAGCTCCGGGAGTTAGGGATCAGGGGAAGTCCCTATAATGCGCTTTCGTTTTGGCCGAACAATAAATTTCACATACCGTATATGACGGAAACGGAATAAAGACCTTCCTTCCCCGGCGAGCTGGGGGTGGAAAGATCAAGATCCCTGTCTGAGGCGATTGACTGTAGAAAGGAACGAGAGGGTGAAGAGGCGGTGACACGAGGAGTCTACCTGCCTCGTGGGAGCTGGGATAAGACACGATGTGAGCAGTTAATGTATGCAAGAAGAATGCCCGTGAAGATCGCAGCTTGTCCACATCTAGGTCCGCCGCGGCCGAATTTAGAACTGCTTTGTCTTTCGCAATCTGCTCCGCAACCGCAGGAACGCGGCTTTGCATAGGAACATGTACACACACACACACACACA